GGTAATCTTTTAACAGTGTTCTTTGCTCGTAGGTCCCTCTAACTAAAACTGAATATATACGTCATATATAACTAGTGCTTAACATATATAAGAAGTTCGAACGATGTTGATATTTAACATTGAATAATAATGATGTTGATAATATTTTTGAATGGAATATTATTACTATTATTATTAAAAAAAGATCTTAAAAATTTTTAAAAATTAATGAGGTACGGAAAGATTTATGTACGGAAAGTGACATAAATGCGGAATACACTGCAAAAAAATTGTATAAAAATTAACTATTCGTAAATAGACTTATTCAATTATATATATAAAATGTCTATTAAATTCCTTCTCGAAAGAGATATCGTCAAAAACAGACAGCTGAAAAATATTTAGAATGTTGAAAAATAGATGGCATAAAAGTAGATTTATAAATAGACAGAAATAGAATTTGATATCATTTGAAGACTTTATTACAACAGTAGGCTAATAATGTAACAATGTGCAAATAAATATACTTTTTGTGTCACTTTAACTTTAGAGATTATTTTCTTTGTTTTTACTAAATATGAATTTCCCACTGTTGTCGTAAAATCTTTAATTGCAAAGGCAATACATTTCTGGAGAAATACTGTTCGATGTACCTCTTCATAAAAATATTAGAGGAAAAAAATATATCTACTTACAATTATTATTGTTTTTATTCGCCCAAACAACATGGCAACAGATTAAGATAAGCCCGAACGCTATGAAATTCATTTTTCTACACAAAGTAAACAATAATTGATTTAACAAATGTTTTAGAAGACAAAGCGGAGTAGAATATTTTCCTTAAAATATTTTGACTCGCTTCATTTTCGAAGAATTTGCCACGAATTTGTCACAATCCCGAACAGTGAGCAATCTTGCGAATTAACGACGTGATATAATATACATATTAATATTAGGGAATGAAAATCTCAAGACCACGATCGTGAATACAGATTTTATAATCGTTGTGATTATAGATGATGGATCTAGTTCTACGAAATTCCAACGGATATGAATATTAATCCGATGAATCGCGAATTCTTATTGTTTCTGGAGAAGTTCTTTAGAGGCAAGAAAAGATAATTAATGGATTAGAACGTACCTGAATATTCTTGGCGAAGAGACTCAGACGTATTAACGAGTTAATACTGTACATTTGACAATATTGACTGAACAATATTGGATTGTTGACTAGAAATATCTTGGTGATTATATACGAATTATTTCTAAGTTGAGTCATTAGTATTTAAGTGCCACAAGTGTCCTTGCACTTGCATGACTCATATTTTATGATAAGAATTGCTCAAATTGTATTATTATTGAAAAAATTATGCCACGACCTTATATATATATAGGTAACGATAATCACGCGACAGCGAGCTAGGTCGATTAAAAATACAAATCTATAAAATTGCGTGCGAAATTGATTCCGTTTTTAGAATTAGAATTACAGATTAGAGATACGTCGCCTTATCAAATATTGTATATGATTGAAGAATCATATATAATTTCACCCCTATGAAGATTGTGCATCGATTGTGAAGTACATTTAGGTCATTTGGATTCCCAAGGACGATTCCCAAAGGTAGAAAGAAAAAGTGAAAGCGTCATCTAGCTGCCACCTGCTTTCCCATAACCCACGGTATGCTTTGGTATCATCTTTTTACCCTCCATTCTATACCTTTCTCATTTTTTTTTATCTTGATCCGATGTCATTGGAGGCCGAGTATCGATTTATAATGCACACTAATAGGAAACAGAAATCCCAATACTACGAACGCGAATATAAATTATTATCGATTGCCAAAGATAATGAATCTGATTCTACGAAACTCCAATGGTTTCGAAGAATATAATCGAGCGTGATTCGTGAATTCTTAATGTTTCTCGAGAAGTTCTTCAGAGACACGAAGAGTTGTGCTTAACGATAATTGATGAATTGACAAAAATCAGATATCGTTGGCTGAGATTCCTGCAATGTAATGCTATGCGTAATATAATAATGCACTTTAATGTAATATGGAAATTAGTATGGTGTATCGCGCACAGGTGGAGGGTGAATATATCGAGCGCCTACTTTATTATCAGAATGACGCGCGACACCGCGCACGCTTATCATCGCCGATCGCGTTCAGCAATTATCCTCCTTCGTGAATCATTACGCGTTATTACGTTACATGTACACACGCATATTATAGCAAGCGTTACATGCGTACACGCGCCGTGAGTGCACTCTGACGAGTGACGGTGGGGTGTGCACCGTCGCGCGGAGTATTTTACATGTATAATATCTGCCAAGCAGATCAAACAACGCGTCATAACATAAATATTTATACAAATATTTATCCCCATGAATTATTGATTATTGACTTTGTAGATGTGACGTGTAACTGCGTCAAATTTTAAGGTACAGAAGATTTTAATGTACAGAAAAAGTTGCAATTAATGATAACAATAATAATGTTATGATACGTATTATAAACTCCCAGTAAATATAATTTTTTAAATAGATATGGATAATACGAAATTATGCAACAAAGGGCTGAATGTATGTAGGTATTTATTTCGAAGCCAAGGGAGCAACAGAATGTAATAAAAATAATTATATAAGAGAATAATAGTGTCACATGATTTACCTGCTAACAGACAATGGCGCTATTAAAATTAAATAAGGTGCTTCACCAAAGGGAAAAATTGCATCAAGGAATGAAAGTAGGACACAATATGACGGGACCCGTTCTGCCTAGCAGAATAACAGCGCTTTACACATCGCCGCTGTCATTACGTCGTCGGTTCTTCTATCCTTTCGGTGTGTACGAGCCTTTGTTTCATTCACCGACAACCAACGTACGAGAGAAGAACCGGCGCGAATGGCCGAGCGTACGCACGCACGCACTCGAGCGCGGAACCCCTTCAAGGATGAGAATGAGCCGTGGAGAGGAGAGAGAGAGAGGGACTCCCTCGGTTTGTATCTTCCTTCGAGCGCACATCCTCTTCCATTTGATGAGGACTTTAATTTGACTTGTGCTGCGATTACAGCAACGACGACGGACAGATCACCTTACTTCTGTTTCCCTCGCGCTCAGAATGTGATTCTAACACAAATATGCATTTTGTATAATTGATTTTACTGTGTATAATCGCATCTTGACATTTATGTCTTCTACGTGTAGTTACACAATTAATGAAATAACTAGTTATCTTTTATCGTACAAGACGGTCAGCTAGTTTATGGCTACGATTTTTGCAAAGCTTTATTTGATATATATACATAGTGAACCTATAATAATAATCAATTTATATGTTAGGATGTTCTATCAGTTCTTATGTGTGAAATACAAAAAAAGTTTAAAGAAGCACATATACATGTACAAGATACGTATCAAAATATAATACGTGTATGCACAGAAATATGGCATATGAAATTATATTTAGGATTCTATTTTTCGAATTTCTGCGTGCTATAGATCATTCACAGTAGATTTGCACGAAAACCACATGAAATATTTATCATTGTAATATGATTAACATTATTAATAATGTGCTTTTAAAATTATGATATTTAATAGTTTTCGTTTCCAGTTGAAGTAGTTCTATAAAATAAAATTAAATCACTAATTCTGTTTATAATATAATAGGATATGTATTACGCATATAATACAACAAGAAGAAAACAAGGAGATTTTTTTTAATTAATTAAATGAAACTACGTTAGCAGTATACATGTTTATATTCTCCAATTATTTTACAAGATAATTTTAACATCGGAAGATGTTATTACATCAATTTTTGTGTTATTTCATAATTTAAAAATATAGATGAGTTCATATATATATATATATAT